TTGTAATGATATTTTTATCAAGTTTTGAAGTACGTTCAGATACGAAGTGACTTTGAATAGAAGTTTCGAAGGACTTGCTATCCTCGAAATTCAAAAGCTTAACGACATCTTCACTGAAAATAAAACTTCCATCTTCATTGCAATGAGAAAGGAATCTCTTGACTGAACCAACATCAACGGAATGTTTTTCTTCGATGTAAGAAACTTTTCTCTTATTTTTGGCTAAAAGTCATTTGTAAATCAAAACGAGAATTGCATAAGTTAAAAAAAGAAAAAGACTCGCAATAAATCATTCTTAAATTTAAGAAACTATTCAAACCAATAAGCTGTCGTCTCTTCTCTTCGGTTTTTTCGTGATCAATTGCTTTTTGTTTGTTTTCAACGGCCGAAGCGAAACTATGATCATCTTCAATTGATGATGATTCAACTTTATGTCGTTTGATAATAAAGTTCCTGGCACTTTCTAAGATTTCTTGTTCCAATTTTGAGTCATCATTACATTGAACTCTTAAATATTCGGATGCTTTATCATAAACCTTGACCCAATCTTGACGAAAGTCTACGGCTACATAACGTAGATACCAAATTGTACAAGCGGTAACCCAAACATCCTGGTGAACTTTTGTGACACGTTCGCTGTGGAAATGGGTTTGAAGTTCTTTTTTGAATTCCTCAGTGCTTTCAAATCCAAAGTATTCGGTAGTCTTGTCATCAAGGGGAATAGAACCAGCTTGGGTTTGATATTTGAGAACATGACGAACGGTTCGAGCAGTAACTAATTTACGTGTAATTATGACTCGTTTTTTAACTAATAAAGATTGAAAAACGAAAGATGAAAACACATCAATACAAAATTCAAAGTAATATATCAAAGAAAGTAAAAGATGATACGATCAACAATTTTTCTCGTCTTACCTGAAACTAAACTGTTCTGTTGTTCTTCATCATCATATCCTTTAATTTCGAACCTTTCGGTGATGAATTTTTCACAAGCGCCGTATAATTTGTCCTCAAGTTCAATATCATCGTTTTCTAAACTCAACCATTCTTCACTATTCGCAATAATCTTTGCCCACTCTTTTCGATGTTTCCAACATAATAATCTCAAATATGTGATCACTAATGCAGTGCTAAGGACAGATTGGCTTAACTTTTGCAATCGTACATCAGTAGTGGTGAATTTTATGAAGGCGTTCCTTAATTCTTCCTCGGATTTACAATTAAAGAAACGAGCCAAGTTGTCAGAAAATTCAAATGACCCGCTCGTTAGTCTCCAACTGAAGAGAATGTAAAGATGTTTAAGATCGATGGTTTCTCGGTTAAAAATAAAGCTCTCTTCCAAGTCAAAAGATGTGGAAAAGAATTGGACTTCCATGTTCAACTCTCCCTTAAATATTTTTCCAATTTGAAGTGAGAACCATTCTTCTACCAGATCACCGGTAGTGAAAGAACCATCCTCATTTCTATTAATCAACTTGGCAGTATCAAGAACATAAGAACCAAGAGTTTTATCAGAAATGAATAAATTTTCGTCCATAATCTCAAAGGTGATTTTTTCACCAGGACCATGAATTGATACATAATGAATTTCTTCCCAAACAGGGCCAAGTGTATCATGATTGGTTCGAGTTCGAGTGATTTCTTTATAACAAGTATCAAGAATTTTGACATAAGGATCCGGTTTCGTTCCAAACCAACTTGTTTTAAGAAGATCCCTGGCACTTTTGATTCTGATTCTGAGGAGACCAATGACTTGATATGCTGCGATGAAATCGTCATCGTTTGCAGCTTCGATTTCGTTTAATACGAATTGAGGAACGGATTCCTTTTTAAATGCCAAGGAAACCTTGAAGGATTCATCTTTGAGGATTGATTCCCCGTCAACTTCGAACCTCTTCATGACGAAGTTCCTTGCAGCCTCAAGAACTTCATTTTCGACTTGATCGTCTTTCACTTGTTCACTTATCCACATAGCTGTCTTTTTATATTTATAGGCCCATTCGCTTCGGAAATCAACCAACACGTATCTCATATACCAAATCATTACGGCTGAACTATACACGTTGGCATCAAGTATTAAAGCTTTTGCATAAATAGCAAAATATGTTTCGAAATCTTTCTTCGCCTCCTCAGCTGAACTGAATCCAAGAGATTCGGACATATGATCGGTAAGTTCGAAACATCCTGTGTCCTTTTGATAGCTCATATAACGACGTACGTGACGTGTTCCAACAGTACGATGAGTGATTATTGTTTTCTTTGTTATGACTTTAGAATAGTGATTAAAATAAATAAATAAATAAATAAAACTTGCATCTTTTTTTTTTAAAAAAAAAAAAGAATGAAAGAATGAAATTAATAGAAGGTTACAAACGCACCACTGATACCGAGACTCCTCTTTTGCTCTTCATTTTCCCATTGAGAGATTTTAAAGTGATTAATGACAAATTTATTTGCCAAGCTATATAATCGTTCTTCAGTTTCAAGATTGGTGACAGTTTCGCTCAAGTAAGTTTCGGTTTTTGCGTAAACTGTATTCCACTCTCGTCGATGAGTCCATAATAAAGCTTTAAGTAATGCTGTAGAGAGAAGGGATTATGGAATGAATTTTAAAGAGATGAGTAAATTCTCTGATCCAATGAAGAAAAAATCAATGAATTTCATATTAGTTAAATTACCGGTGATTAATGCAGAACTCCAAACATCAACATGAAGAGCTATCACATGATCATCCTTTTGCACATGAGCGGTAAATGATTGTATTAACTCATTCTTGGAAGAAAAGTTAAACAAGCTTGCAACATTGTCAGTTATTTCGAAACAACCATCTTGACGTTGATAAGTAATCAAAAGACGTAAGTGACGAATTGTAATGGTAGTTTTCGATATAGTGGTCGGTTTGATCTCGGCTTGGTTGAAATCGGCGGTAAATTTTTTGACTAGAATTGAATGAAAATAAAAAATAAATAAGTTAAGCAAATATTTAGAAAATAATCCTAAAATTATTGATAAAGTAAATTATTTACCAGGAACGTGCAATGCCTCTTCATCGAACCACTCATTATCCAAAATAATTGATTGTGAGTTTTTACTGAGTATTTTTGTAAAAAAAGAATTTAATTATTCCTTGTGTGACAAAATATAATCCATTAGATAAGCGTTTAATAGAATAAATACCTGATACATGGATTAAAAAATATGCATGCGATATTTTCAAGTATTGATATTTTTGTAGATTTTTCATTACAAATAGAACAAGTTTTATTACAGCTACATTTAACATATTCTAATTCAATTCGCTTACATCTATGATTTAAAAACATTGGGTTATAATTATTATCTTTTGATAGATACAAACTAACATATTTTGGATTTTGATATTGTGAAATAAGTTCTCCAATATCGACAAATGGGTTTCTATTTAATAAAAAGTCACGTTTTCTAACTTTCAAAGGAAGTGATTCATAAGCATTAGAAAAAAGGGTATAAAAAGTAAAGCTGGGTAAATTAACATAACATTTGTTTTTTAGACAATAACCAAATGCGAATAGATCATTTCTGCCTTTTATATTACAAAAATGGTGACCAATAACAAGGGAATAATCATTTTGAGAAGTATCTAACCTATTTAATACGGGAATTCCAATACAAGGGGGAACACATTTGATAGGTAATGCCTTGCTCATCATAATTTGATTAGTTGTTGAATTAAAATCACTTTTTAGAACTTTCAATTGAACATTAAAACCTGCTGAAAGTAAATAATCAAAATTTATGTCATAGCCAATAACCATCCAACTGATTTTCAAATTAAATGAACATTTTCTAGATTTTTTTTGAATACAATGAATGATAAGTCTTGGTTCATCATCTTGCAGCCAAAGGATTTGACAATTAAAGAATTCATTATTTGTTTCTTCTTCATTAATTACTGTTGCAAAAATGTTACAATCTGCATCTTTATTCTGAAGGGTTTTTGAAATATTTGCATCCCTCAATGTAAAGATTGCCGGTATACCACTTTCGAACGTACATTTGCGAGTTTCCGTTTTCGAATAAATGACCTTTTTTCCAAGCAAAACAAATATTTTTCGTTGTAATTCATCAGATAAAAGTTGAAAGATATTGATTGAGTTTCGAAAATCTATACACTCCCAATTGTTATAATCTTCTAAAGACTTAACCCAAGCTAGTTCATCGAAATTTTCAAGACATCCAAGTTTTCCTCCAATGAATTCTAGACAATTTGATCTATAATCCTTTAGAATTCCAATTGTATGATTGGTACTTCTTGATATTCCAACATCGATATTACTTGGAACACTTAAATTAATAGCAACATCATTTTCTTTTCCTGTTGAATATTCGGTTGATCTACTGGAATCTTTAAAATATATTCTTCCACCAAAAATCACTTCAGTTGGTATGAAATGACCATAATCCTCAATAATTTGAATAAAATTCTTCGGCTTTTTTGATTTTATGGCATCATTTACTCTCTGAAGAAATTCTTCAGTTAGTATCAAATGCTCCGTAATGTTAATATTCATGGAGAATTTGCCGTAATTTCTATAATAATAAGTTGAATTTGTTTCCAATTTTGATTTGCTTCTGTTCACTATTCCAGCCGAAAATCCCAAATTTACAAAACTTTGCAATTTACTATTAATATCAAGTAATAAAGATTTCGTCAACCAATCTTCAGTTTCGATCGAATTGAATTCCACTTTATCTAATCGAAATTCTTTAGTACCAAGGTCGTATAATTTACAACCTTTCATATTAAACACTTTATAACCGTTGGTCTTAATACCATCATTAGTTATGGTACGCCCATAATTTAATTTGTGCTTTTCATTCATATATTCCCCCAAATTTGAATGAATTAAATATAAAATGTATTTTTCATTGTTTTTGACTATAATTTCATTTAACCGAAATGTTCCCTCGTCCGAATTTTCTACTTTGGACATTTCAATAATATTTTGAGAAAATGATAATTTATCATTGATGAATTTACGCATTTCCAATTCCTTACGAATCTTTGATAAATTCTCACCAAGTTGTAAATGAACTAAATTTGGAGGTCTCGATGTTGGATAGCATACTTTTACCAAAACCTTTCCAGGCAAATTAAAAGAAAATGCCATTTCCTCTTTTTTTATAAAAAAAAAATTTATTTGTTAATGTAAAAAAAAAAAATATATAAAACTGTTTTGTTTTAAATTTTTTTTGGGGAATAAACCCTTAAAATAATAATTATGCGGTTCATTACAAAAACGGGCTGAGTTGCAGTACTCGGTAAATTACGGAATATCGGAACATTGTTGATTCGTTGTACGATTTAAAAATTCTTGTCCAATTGCGTCCAAGAAATCATTAACATGATATGAACTTACGCCTTTCATTCCATTAATATAATTTTAAAATAAAAAAATTTATAAAATAATGTTATTGAAAATGCTTATAATTGAACCGATATCTGATAGGAATTTTAAAATTTTAAAATAATTTCGTATTTTATCCTTTTAGAGTTTTAAAAACTTGTCAATTGAGTATTAGCAAAGCCCTGTATGTTATTAATAATTATTGAACCTCTATTGTATAGAATAAATACAATATTGCTAATAAGCGCAGCTTGGTAAGTAATTTTTCTTTTTGGTAAAGAGATCTTACTAATGTTTCTTACCATTTTCTTTTTATTCTTTTAGGAAACAGCTAGAATGTGATTTTAATTACCACGATGTAAAGTTTCTTGGGCAAATTTTTTTTTTGTAGTATTATGCATCAAATTAATAAAAAAGTCTAAATATTTTTTTTTAATTTTTTTAAAAAAAAAAAATAGAATATAATAAATCCTTTTATTTTGTAAATAATTAAAAATATATTTCTTTTAATATAAATATATAAACTTAATTTTTTATAAATAAAAGATAATTCAATGCGCATTGCGCAATTGTGGGTAGACCATGATAATGAATGATTAACATATTCTAAAACAATTTCCTTTTCTTCCTTTTCTCCAAAAATAAATAAAAAAAAATCTATTATTTAAATTAGATTATTATAACTAATGATCTCTGTTTATGTCCTCCCACGATTTATTTTTAAAAAGCACGAATTGAGTCGATTATATAAAGATTAAATTAAACAAAAAAATAAATTAAAAAAAATTAATAAGAAAACTAAAGCTTTACTCCCAATGAGCTGATATATAAAAGGATCAAATAAAAAAAAGTGATGCAAAAAATAATTTAATTTGAAAAAAATTCTTCAGATTTTTGTTAAAACATACTTGTTACAAAGGAAGGAATTGAAAAGGACTAATCCTTTGCTTTTCGCTATATGAAATATTTCAAAATTTTCCACATTTTTTTTTTTTTTAAAAAAATTTGCGAGAAAATATCGTTGCTTTTAATTTAACTTTTTTACAGTAATGATGAACGAAAAATTTGAATTTAATATTATAGTAATTGGTACCAAATGAAAAATAATACATCATTATTACTTTTAAATATTGTTTTTATTAATATAATTTATAATTTCAAGCGAACTTAATAGTTTCATATTATCAGGAATTTCTTAATTAGTTGTGGTTCCGCCCGCCAGTTGATCCAGAAAAGTTTATTTTTTTTGAAGTCCCCGGTTTTAGGTAGCTAGAGTTGGAACCGGCGAAAAACACCCAAAATAATCAATTGTTAAAATAAAGAATCTTTTTTCATCCAAAAATATAAATAAAGTCCCACCTTAAAAATTTTTTATTCACTAAAAATTAATAACTACAACTCGATAAAACTTTCAAATTTTACTTTCATATCAAAGGTATGGATGGCATCATCACATCACGGAACCTCAATTGTCCAATTTCCTGAAATGACACTCGACCATTAATTTGCTAATGTCGACCTAATGATTAAAATGTCAAGCGCCATGATGCTTTATGAATGAGTATTTCATATAGAGGTTTTTATACCACAGCTAAACCAAGTGGTACGATTTAAAGCAAAGTTACGAAAATTCCAACGGTTATGCAAAAGAAATCCTAATTCATATGTTCGACGTGAATTTTATTTAAGGTAAATAAAGGACTACAACGCAGGTGTGAATACGAGTACATGTGAATACGCCCTGCTACAAATTTTGTATACAGTTCGTGAGTACGTTTACTATGTTATTACGAATTATTATGCGTAGTCACATAGTAGAACTGTGACTACATAAATCTATTGAGTACGCCTTGCGTTATAATCTAAGACCTTTAGTTTTTTAGCTGGTATAAGTAAAATTTCCGTTCTAGCTTTTATTTTTTCAGTAATAAATTCTAAATAAAATAATTGCTTATGTCCTATTGAAAACTTTATAAATTTTTGAAATAAAATAATACGTTTAAAATATACCTTGTTTTATTGAAATAATATATTAATCGTTAGCTAAAAATTCAAACGATAATTTTATAAATTGGCATTTTAACACTTTATTTATGATATTTATTTTTCCTTGTATTAAAGTTTTACTTTACCGTTATTTTGTAAAGAATCCAAGTGGTTAAAATAGAGCGATTACCGAATATAAACTGAAGATTTATAATTTCGTTTTAAAAGAATATCTTGGCATGAAATTTATATTTTCGCGTTTCATTCACTATATTATTTACATGACGTCTTAGCATAAAACAAACTTAACAAATGTATTATTATATTTAAATATTTAAAGTGATCATATTCTTAGCAGAACAAGTTTTCATCAATTGACCGGGACGATTTTACCATCCATGTAAGTTTACTTTATTTACATAACGGTAAAAAAAAAGATCACGAATATGTCTTTATCGCTGGCGATAGTTGTAACATATTAAAATGGTAAAAAAATGCATTCATTTTTATTGTTTACGCCAATATTGCATCATTTTTTTTTTTAATTCACCTAGATCAATGTTTCAATTTATTTATGAATATTTTTATGACGAACAATTCAATAAAAGATATATACATTAAAAAAAAACTAACAAAAAGAAGCTTTACGATTACGATTAGAAAAAAAAAGCTAAATTAAAATATTTACAGAAAAGATGGAGCCCATAATAACCATTGTATATACAAATATAATATAAACCTAAATTTATGAGAACATATTTTTATGGTACATTGGGCTTATTATCCGTCTTATCATCTCATTAATATTTCTTATAGTCGTCGTGGTAGTAGTCCTTTTTGTAGTCATCGTGATAGTAGTCTTTCTTCTTGTAATAGTCGTGACGTTTGTAGTGTTCTTGAGAATAAATAAAGTTAGCATATTTATATTTCATGTTAATGATTTTTGGTAGTAGGTAACTTACTGTTGTATTTATCTTCGTAATCATCATCGTAATAGTCCTTTTTCTTGTAATAGTCGTGACGTTTGTAATGTTCTTGAGAAAAAAAAATAATGTCAGCATCTATATATATCACACAAATCAATTTTTGTGGTTGATAACTTACTTTTCTTATAATCATCTTCGTAGTAATCATCGTCGTAGTAGTCATGAGGTGTACGCTTGTCTACACTTTCTTCATTGGCAGGTTTTTTTTCTGCTACGAGTGCAAGAGCAACTGCAGCGAATAAGGAAAAGAGGAAGAGTACGATGGTGACTTTCATTTTGGATTTCTTTCTTTGTATTTATGATTTACTATTGAAAGAAGTGAAGAACTTTCTTCAGAGGAAAGAATGTGGTGTTTATATACTTGTCTCGAGCTTAAGGAACCTGTGATTTCGTTATGGTAAGATTTCGTTATGGTAATAATATCGATATCGTATAATTATTGACAAAGCCTCAAATTAAAGACTATAGCTATAATATATTATGTTTCGATTTTTCGCGTCTTTCACATGAGGCTTAATTATTACAAAATGGCATGGCTAAAAAGGTAATAACGATTGATCGATCATTGTCGGGTAAATTTTTTAAAAACTAAAAAATTAGATTAACATTTGAGGCTTCGGATTACATAATCCATTTACACAATGAAGGGTTGTTCTCGAGAAACCGGAAGGTGTCGGATAAATTTAAAAAGAATAAAAAATTTAATTTCTGTATTTGGATTGACATTTTGAAATACCGAGAGGCTTCGGATTACAAAACTCATTTGCAAAATGACAACAGTATCGTGTGGCGACGGCCCGAATCCCGATTTTGTTGATCTACATACAATTTTACATACTGTCATTCCATTCTATCAAATTACCAAAAAGATCACATCCTATAACCAATAAAGTACGATTTTGCAGATCAGTACGAATTTTATAACCTTATTGAGGCCAGTACGGTACGATCATGTATTTTGTACCATACTGATCGTACCCATACCGGTTTTCCTCCTCCTTGATAAATACTCGTTAGTGACTTTTTTTTGATAACATATTTCTATTTATGGAATATCAATTTTAACTTTACTAGAAACAAGATACGAAAAAAATTTTAAATGTTTAAATGTCATTTGAAGAGGCTTGGTACGAAATTTCAAGTATTTTTAATTAAAGGAACTAGACTAGTGGGCAACAGTAAATATTAATTTGCGATTTGAAATAATTATTGAAGAATTATTTTACTTTAATTATTTACATATGATTGTCAAAACGAATCAAAAATAAAAATGATTTAGATCCAAATTTTTTAAAAATTTTCATAACTTTTTCATATTTTCATAAAGAATTTGTATTGAAATAGAAATTACACTTGAATATAAAAAAAAGGTATGAGACTTTCTTAACTTCAATAAAGTAGAATTTTGCCATAACTACCCATATTTCTGATTAGTGCTCCGAGCCTGTCGAATCGACCATGGTCATTTGACCCAACTCGAGAAAAAATTCGAGTCGGGACAATCATTTTATTTCGCGGTTCCCAATTTCTTAAGACCCGTCAGGTTAGGGTCACGATTTTGCTTGACCCAGGTATAAAAATACAAAACCCATCGAGAATATAGATGTCTTAACTGCTCGTATCTATTTTTAATAGAGTATTTAATGTGTTATATTACTGGTTATTATTTTTTTTTTAACAAATTATTGGTTTCATTTAGAGCGGAATCATTCAAATCAAAATGAAATTATTTTAATAAACAACGAGTGTTCCTGTTGAACGAGATTAGATGAGGTCTTTAAGCTGATAAATTGACGCGTGTATGTGTTCGAATTCCTGGTAGCAATAATATATTTAAAAAATCTAAATTTAAATTAATGTACAACCAAAGAACTTTAAAATGTAATAAACTTTTAAATTTAATACCCTTTTTTAATTATCTACATAAATGTTTTTTTTTTACTTTCAATAATGATATATCCCTTAAAATTCGAATAGAATCCGAGTTAAACAATAATCGGGACGGGTCGAACAATAATCAGGTCGAGATGAATTCGTAAATATTAACTCGAATATGCTTCAAATCCGACCATTACAGAGCACTAGTTCTGATATTAATCAGTTATTAAATCAGGGTTCCAAACCTAATTTGTCCAATTTTCAAAAGTTAAGAAAGATAGTTATTAAAGAATAGGAGATAATTCCTAAAGATATATATTATTTGTTATTCTTTTCAAATTAAAAGTAGTCATTTCTAATGATGATTATAAATATATGAAATATTTATTTCTGAAATATGCTATATCTATATATATATATATTTAATATACAAAATTTTATTGAAATTTGATACATGATTTTATTTTTATTAAAAAAAATAAAAGTGAAAGTACATTCTATTAATTCAATATAGCAAGAATTTACCATATAATAATTTAATCGATACTGCGATCAAAATAAAAATTAAAAAACTAATTTTATTGTCTG